CCCTCCCTCCCTCCCTCCCTCCCTCCCTCCCTTCCTTCCTTCCTGCCAACATTTGGACTTATATACCTCTTCACAGTGCTTTACAGTCCTCTTTAAGTGGTTTACAGAATCAGCCCCAAACAATCGGGGTCCTCATTTTACCGACCTCGGAAGGACGGAAGGCTGAGTCAACCTTGAGCCGGTCAGGATCGAACTCCCGGCAGTGGGCAGAGTCAGCCTGCAATGCCTCATTCTCCCCCGTGCACCCCCACGGCTCCAACGAATGTCAGGAGGAACCAGAACGTAGAGCGTTTCCGTGGCGCCTCTCGTGTTTGCCACGGATGCCCCACCGCCACGAAGAGTTACCTTGGTGTGCGTGAAGGCATAACCGTCAGGATTGGTGACGATCTCTAAGAAGATATCGAACTGGTTCATGATGGACGCCAGAGAAGGATCCGTCTCGTGATCTTCAAAGATCTAAAGAGGATCAAAAGGGGATCAGTGGCGTCCACAGAGGCGCCTTAGCAGTGCATTTAGGGCAGCGGCCCCCACGTTTTGGGGCACCAGAGACCGTTTCCGTGGTTTTCCCCCCGTGGTTTCATGTGCTGCCTGCCTCCTGCACATGGGGCTTCCCTTGTTTGCATGGCCCAGTTTCTGGCATGCTGTGAATCCGTCCCAGTCCACAAATTGAGGATTGGGGGACCCCTGATTTATGGGGGATCTCTATGACAGGACACCTTTCACAAGCCAGTTTGTTTTAGGACCCGGAGTGGAAAAAAAGGTAGAAAAGATCAGATTGGCAAATGGCTTTTATTTATTTTTTTCTTTTAGGGCTAAGTGGGAGACCGAAGTGGAGCAGCCATGAAATGGCAGATGTGCTGGATGGTCTCCATTTTTCCTGCATTTGGGGGAAAAATACAAGAGTCATCATCATCCTTTTTTAAAGACCTCATAATTCATTTGGGGGTTGGAGTCTGGAATAGAGTTGTGTGTTTACTGGCCGGATGCTTTTCCTGTCACCAATGCGGAGTTTTGTCCAGCAGATTATATTCTCATCGTGCCCAGAAAGAGAAATATCTAACTCTACCTAGAATCTTGAGAAACCCTGATCTAACCAGGATATGGTGGTTTGGCTTTCCCTTCTCCTGTTTACAGAATGTTTCACGGCTGTTACCTTCTTTGCAAACCAAACTCCGCTGGCCTGAGTGACCCACTCGCGGGAATGGATGCCGGTGTCAATCCAGATCGCTGGCCGGTTGGTTCCCCCGGTGCTAAACTGTGCAAATCAAAGTACAATTGGGAGGCCTTAAATCCAAGCAACCATCTTGGCTTGCATCTTGCAGACATTTTATTACCCAACTAGATAACAGCATCAGTGTTAAAAGGGAGGGGGAGAGGGGAGGAAGAGGAGGAAGAGGAGGAAGAGGAGGAGGAGGAGGAGGAAAAGAAGAAGAGGAGGAGGTGGAGGGAGAGGGAGAGGGGGAGAAGAGGAGGAGGAGGAGGAGGAGGGAGAAGAGGAGGAGGAGGAGAAGAGGTGGAGGGAGAGGGAGAGGGGCAGAAGAAGAGGAGGAAGAGGAGGAGGAGAAGAAGAGGAGGTGGAGGAAGAGGAAGAAGAAGAGGAGGAAGGAGGGAGGGAGAAGAGGAGGAGGAAGAAGGAGGAGGAGGGGAGAGGGAGAGGGGGAGAAGAAGAGGAGGAGGAAAAGAGGAGGAGAAGAAGACGACTGTTGATGCTTCTTGTAGATATTTCATCACTCAACTAGGTCACATCATCAATGCTAGAAGGGTGAGTGTTTTCTCTCTGTTTATGTACTTCACTGATGATGTTACCTAGTTGGGTCATGAAACATCTACAAGAAAACCACCAAGCTCAGAGAGCACCAAGGACCCCGCAGTTCAGCCCAAGCCACAAATGTCTCCTCTCTTGGGACTTAGTTAATCAGGCTGAAAAGACACAGCAACTTTTTCCGCATCCCGTAGTAGCCCACCCTCCAAAACGAGCATCCAAAGGAAGACTTACCTTCAAGACGTTAATCGGACGTCCTTCAGTTGTCTGGCCAATCTCAATTTTGCTAACCAGGAGGGGTTTCGCACGCACCAAGAGGTCCATGAAGCTATAGATCTAGCAAGCCAAGAGAAGGTGCCAAAATGATGTCTATGAGTTGTCTTCTGGAAGTCTTCTCCAGAAGAATTTGACTATTTGGAATCGTAAAATGGGCGGAGACCCCACGGTCCCTTAATGGTACTTACTGTATCCAAGTCGTGGTAAGCAGCAAAGTTAAAATTGGCGAGGGACAATTCTGGGAGTTGACGTTGGCTCATCATATGACTCCTCTCCTCATCAATCAATTTCTGAAGAAGACAACGAGGACAATTGAGCAGAAGGTTAGTCTTTCTCCTGCATTTTCCACTCGTTAAGTAATTCCACTCCATCCTTCTGTGCTACAGGGCAATCAAGCTCTTTTTCGGATCCCGTCAATCCATCGAAAACCTTGCTGGAATTTCAGGAAAGCCAACCCCAAACCCTTGGTCATCTTGGCCAACTCATCTGATGGAAGAGCGGCCTAGAACTTCTTTCAAGCTACTCTTTCGGTCCATAACAATGACTCAAAACATCTGATGGTCTGGTGGAGGACACCTTCTTAAGCCCGGGTTTCAACATTGAGGTAGGGTCAAATTCCTACACTACATTTTTTGTGATGAGCCTAAAACATGCTGAATCACAGAGTTAGAAGTGACTGTGGAGGTCTTCTATCTGGTCATAGAGGAAGCCCCATTCCATTTCAGACAAATGGCTACCCAATCTCTTCTTGAGAACCTCCAGGTTTTCAGAAGAACAAAAGTTATGGAGGATCACCCATAACTTCTGTTTCATTGATTGATGGTCTTCACTGTCAGGACATTTCTCCTTAGTTCTAGGTTGAATCTCTCCTTGATTAACTTCCATCCATTGCTTCTTGTCCTGCCTTCAGTGTGATGACCCAAAGGGGCGTGGCACAAAGGCAACCCAGTCAGATCATCAGTAGGAGGCCCTTTATTCGCTCCAACTTTGCCCCCAATGTCCTGGTTACCTTCTGACTGGAGAAAAACCCTCCCAGGAACAGCCTTTGGCTGCAGGGAATCAAGTCCAAAACGTGGTCAACAAAAACTGTAACTATAAGCCCAATCAAGGCAAGATGAGGTAATTAGTCCGGGAGATCAGGAGCAAGAATTCCAGACATGAAGGCGTGGAATAACTCAACATGGTTGGGAAGACGCCAGGAACACAGATAATCAAAGTCACCACAAGATAAACTCAGGTTTGCTCCCAGCCGCCACCGCACTCAGTATGCATCTCTTTTAAACTCTCTTCCCAGCTGTGGCTAATGAAGGGAATCAGGGCCCTTTCCTCCCCCATAAGCCATGCAACCCACGTTGCTCCCTTCTCCGTTCCTCCCTGCGTGCCCTAGGATGAAGAGGGGGTGGGCCTGGATCTTCCTCCAAATTCCCTCTCCCTTGTTCTACCTCTCCCCTGCTCTGCCCAGCCGGACTTTGCCTTTCCCCAGTTTCCTCCACAGCCAAACGGAGCCACGCTCCCACTCCCTGTCAGCTGTTCGTCTTCCTCCTCGGATTCGGACTCCGACAGGGGCATGACATTCAGGTTCTTTGGAGAATAGGTGGACCCCCTCATGTTTTTGCGGCATCCCCTTCGAATTACCGTTCAAAGTGATCTTCTCCAAACTACACTGGTTCTAATTTCAGACCTTTGAAATTCCCAGAGTGGTTCTTTCCAGAACCAACACGTCCACCTGTTTGTCTTCTCATGTGGTCAGAGCACTCACCTGAACATTGTCGATCATGATGGAGTATTGGATGTCATTGCTCTCCAGGAAGACCTTGACCCCTTGAAGGCTGTGGAAGGGCACACGGACATCTATGGGGAGGTTGGGGTGAGCCGGTGCTCGCCAGAAATCCAGCTAGGCATCAAAATGAGAGTGAAGGTAGAAGATTATTGACTTGTATCATCATCATCATCTTCTTCTTCTTCTTTTAATGACCCCATAATCCCTTGCATCGGGGCGGAGTCTGGACAACCGAATGGAGCTGAGGGTTTACTGGCCGGATGCCTTTCCTGTCACCGATGCGGAGTTATATTCAGCAGATAGGAACTTTGGGAACACGTCTTATATAGCTCAAGAACACTTTCCTCTTTATTCTTAATGAACGGATAACTTCATTACTCTGGCCAGGGACCCCTGATCGTAGGCAAGATTCTTGTTTATCAATACCTGAAGATTCTCCAAAGCTTCCAGCTCCTTCAACTTCTCCACCTGAGCTTCATCAGCAGCCCTGATTCTGAGAACCTGGTGTCTGCAGAGACAAGAGCAGAATAACAAGATTTGGAAGGG